TCTGGTACTTCATGTACTTTTCAGCTGATTCATAATCTGTGCGCCGGTGATTTCAACTCATTGCTGCTGGAGCGCAGCGCATATTAAGCTGTTTTATTTATTTATTTATTTTTGTCTTCCGTAGATCCCTTTGGCTGATTAGTTAGAAAGTAGGAAATCTAGGAAACGGTTTTTCTGGAAGACGGAGAAAACATGCAGCATGCAGGAAGGTTAGAGAGAGAAAGGGCCGGAAGTTATTCAAAACCAAGAAAACAAAACAAAGTGCTTGAAAAGAAAAAAGTAGGTAGATTTCTCCCCAATACACATGTTTACCAGTGAAAATCAATAATATATAAGCATTTAATATTTATACATGTGATAGAATCAGATCACCCCAGAAGTCAGTCCCACATCCAGGGCCGTATCAAGGCATTTGGGGACCAAGGCAAACATAGGCTTGGAGCCCCCATCACCTCACTCCCTGCTCAGTTAATCTAAGATGGCAGCGTGCTGAGAGTACAGATTGTTGTTGCTTTTATTTAATAAACAATCATGTTAAAGCACTGTTATTATATCTGACTGTTTTTAACAGCAACCCTAGCTCAGACACCACATCACCTTCCACATATATGTCATGAGCTCACTGAGCGTCACATGACCAGATTCATACTGAAGTTGTTTTGGTGAAAGTTACTTAAAGTAATGCAAAAGTAGTGTAATGCCTTACATTTTAAAATCAGTAATATTGTAATGTAATGAATTACTTTAAAATGAGGGTAATAAGTAATAAGTAATGCATTACAGTTTTGAAGTAACTTGGCCAACACTGCTGGTGAGAGCCTGCTGAATGACCCAGACTACACCAGGGTGATGATGTGTCACCTCTCCTGAGAACACCTCCAGGTAATGTGCTCCTGTTCCAGGATAAAGTGACACGTGGACTACTTTCTTTGTCTAAGTAACCATTCTGGGCATTCAGATGAAACAAATGGATGGACTGAATTACAAAACTGGAGCCCCTGTCATACAAAATCAAACCAGCGATCGAGGTTTGACAGCCTGCTGGTCTCTGAGACCATGCTATTCAGAAACACTGAATTAACCTGACTACACGTCTCCTGTGAGTGGAGACTAGCAGTCGGTTTATCCGGTTAATGATGACTCGATTAAACGTGTTCAGATGAATCCACCTTGTTTCTAACTGATGAGGTTTGTTTTAGTTTCAGTCGGGGAGTGTAGCTCCTCTGTGGATTGGGTATTAGCTGGCGCCGACGACCCTGTGATGACCCTGATCAAAGGTATGAGCGACTGGCAGTCACATACCTCACCTAGTTTTCCAAGCTTCACGTACGTCTCCAGTTTCCCAAATCCGATGTCAGACTAGAGAGAAGAGAGGCATTTTTCACATTGTTGAGCTCCTCCACTGTGATTACACCTTACACACTGAGATGCTTGCATAACATCCTAAAAAGTAACCATGGCGACTTCTGTTGGAGTCATCAGTCACACGCTGGATCAGAGCGACACCAACAAAAGAACAACAAAGGGTGACACTATCTTTCCAGCTGAGACAGGAAGGAGGTTTATTTGGTAAAAAGATGAGCACTGACTAGTGAAGCGCGTCTGGACATGCGGCTGACAGGTTTGCAGAAGGATGAGTTGTCACTGTCCTGCTGCAGCTTCTTCAGGAACTCTGGAGGCAGGCGGATGTCCATGGGCAGCGACATGTGCTTACTCACATCCTGAAAGCCAACAGACCAGATGATCACATGATCCAGGCACAAGAACCTGCTCTTTTTAACAACATTCATCAAATCTTCTCTTAATGAAACGAGCAAGTTTGATGCAGCGTCAGGTCACAAGTCACGTTAAAGGATGTTTCCTATAAAAAAGGACACAAACAGTAAAATGTCCATAAAACGGGAGAAATCTCCACACTGAGGCAGAGCATCACTGGATTACAGTCACATGAGGTTCAGAGAGAGAGAGAGAGACGGTATGTGTGTGTGTGTGAGTGTGTGTGTGTGTGTGTGTGTGTAGGTGTGTGTAGGTGTGTGTGTGTGTGTGTGTGTGTGTGTGTGTGTGTGTGTGTGTGTGAGTGTGTGTGTGTGTGTGTGTGTGTGTGTGTGTGTGTGTGTGTGTGTGTGTGTAGGTGTGTGTAGGTGTGTGTGTGTGTGTAGGTGTGTGTAGGTGTGTGTGTGTGTGTGTGGGTGTGTGTGTGTGTGTGTGTGTGTAGGTGTGTGTGTAGGTGTGTGTGTGTGTGTGTGTGTAGGTGTGTGTGTGTAGGTGTGTGTGTGTGTGTAGGTGTGTGTAGGTGTGTGTGTGTAGGTGTGTGTGTGTGTGTGTGTGTAGGTGTGTGTAGGTGTGTGTGTGTAGGTGTGTGTGTGTAGGTGTGTGTAGGTGTGTGTGTGTGTGTGTGTGTAGGTGTGTGTAGGTGTGTGTGTGTGTGGGTAGGTGTGTGTAGGTGTAGGTGTGTGTGTGTGTGTGTGTGTGTGTGTGTGAGTGTGTGTGTGTGTGTGTGTGTGTGTAGGTGTGTGTAGGTGTGTGTGTGTGTGTGTGGGTGTGTGTGTGTGTGTGTGTGTGTGTGTGTGTGTGTGTGTGAGTGTGTGTGTGTGTGTAGGTGTGTGTAGGTGTGTGTGTGTGTGTGTGGGTGTGTGTGTGTGTGTGTGTGTGTAGGTGTGTGTGTAGGTGTGTGTGTGTGTGTGTGTGTAGGTGTGTGTGTGTAGGTGTGTGTGTGTGTGTAGGTGTGTGTAGGTGTGTGTGTGTAGGTGTGTGTGTGTGTGTGTGTGTAGGTGTGTGTAGGTGTGTGTGTGTAGGTGTGTGTGTGTAGGTGTGTGTAGGTGTGTGTGTGTGTGTGTGTGTAGGTGTGTGTAGGTGTGTGTGTGTGTGGGTAGGTGTGTGTAGGTGTAGGTGTGTGTGTGTGTGTGTGTGTGTGTGTAGGTGTGTGTAGGTGTGTGTAGGTGTGTGTGTGTGTGTGTGTGTGTGTGTGTGTGTGTGTGTGTGTGTGTGTGTGTGTGTGTGTAGGTGTGTTTGTGTGTGTGTGTGTGTAGGTGTGTGTGTGTGTGTGTGTGTGTGTGTGTGTGTGTGTGTGTGTGTGTGTGTGTGTAGGTGTGTGTGTGTGTGTGTGTGTGTGTGTGTGTGTGTGTGTGTGTGTGTGTAGACATCTGCTGTCTCTAACACTACTGTTTCCCCACCAGGGTGAGATGTTCTCCTGGTCAGAACATGGATGCAGTTAGACCAGGGCAGGTGCTCGAACTAGAGCCCTGCACGGGCCTAAAATCTGAGCCCGTGTCCGGCCCGGCCCGAGGAGGTGGAGCCCCAACCCGACCCGGTCCGAGGTTGTCAGGATTCTCTGGCCCGACCCGAGCCCGACTCTTTTTTTTAACCTTTCATAATGTTTTAGCGTGATCGGATGCTCAGCGTTCTAATCCTCTGTGGGAAGCGTTCTGCAGTAAAAAAAAGAAAGGAAAGAAAACCAGCATCAATGCAGCTTTTTTTTCTAACAGAGCGTGTTTTCCGAGTGGCAGATGAAATTTATGAACACTATATTAATTGGATGCGTTTGTAAATGTAATCTGCCGCTCTGAAAACGCGCTCTTGTGCAGTTAGAAA